GTATAATTGAGTGGTTGAATGGAGGATTGTACGTGTACGTGAAGGTGAAGTTCGAAGGATAGTCAGTCAACATCCTATTTAGTCATCGTAAACATGTAAACTTGGATCATCAAATCAAAACAGTCGTGTTTGTCTTAGACTGGAGCATCATCGATGGATAGCTTTGATCTTGCACAGCATTAACAACCGGTATTTTTGTCTTGGTTGTGTGGATGACAAAATCGACTTTTTCGGTTAACCCGATCACTTATCTCAAATGGACGCCTGACAATAAATGGCATTACTGTCTCACGCAATCAGCTACAGCTAAACAGATATTGTTCGATACCATTCGAGTTTTTTTTACTGATGCTGAGTCGAACTCTAAATGTGTTCCGTCCGACCCGTTCCATGGCCTCCGAAGTCCTCAGTTTGGTTGGGAGTGGGTGTCCAGGGTTGCTCTTGGTCATTCTTCCGTTGCACCTCGCGAAATGCTCCCGTATGACCAAGCGTTTCAAATAGCCTCTGCTGAAGAAGCCCTACTCACTGCCTTCTAATGGCAGAGGTGTTCTCCCACCAAAGAGAGGGGACGAGGAGCGGATATCCGGCGCTATAAGCGGGTTGATGAACCACTGGCAGTTCACCTAGGGGGAGTTAGTCAAAAACTCTGATTCCAAACCAACGAACCATACCCACATCTTTTCGGTTGTGACAATAGTCACCGGCTCGATTGGGCATCGAGGTGTGTTGGGCACCTTGGATGTTTGACCCCGTCCGAAGGGTGTACGACCCGATGAACTGGGCACCGGCCCCCAGTGGATTGTGGTTTTTGCACACCGCCTTGCTGCCTTTCGGGCCTTTGGCTAGCCAAAGGCTCCGGGTGTGGATTCCGCGAGGAAATTCATCTGCCTTGACCTGGGCAACCTGGCAATAATCACCCCACAAGCCAATCATGGAACATTTTTCTTTTTTTATAAAGATTATTGTACCATAAGTTGTTTGGCACACAGTCTGGCGTCAGACGAGTGTGAAATATAATATAACATACCCGTTATATGACCACCCCTTGTATTCAAAGGAAAAACGTTGCAAGTCCTTAAAGAAATTGTATCTCAAACTAAATGTTTAAGTACCATAAACATGGATCTGAACTGTTGCGCACACAATAATTATTTTCTTGAAGCGTGCTAGTCACAATTTAACTTATTCAAGTGGATATGTTATCTGGAAAGTTGTATCACTAACTATATTTACACTGTCAAACTGTTTACCTCTATGTACACATTCAATCTTTTGGTGGCGCTGGGCGAATCAGTACATCCATGTGACCTTTCGTTCAAGTGTAGAGGCCATTTGGACCCTGACAATGTGCGATTTGTACTTTATCCGTACGTGAAACATCTGCCCAGCTTTGGTGATTAGCTTGTTATCATTCCGATACTGCCCTGAGGATTTTTGGATACTCTTGTTTGATAAGACATAATACAAAGAATTTCTGCTGGTTGTCCTTCTGATTCCAGTATTACACACAAACCGCAGAATTCAAACGCGTTGCATTTCAGTTTCGTTCCAATAATCCGCCGACTGATGCGAAAGTTGAACCCATCATATTGGAAGGTGTGTGATACGACTATACCAAGCAGCCCATATCGTGGTTGACTAGATTTACGGAGTTATGTTTGGTCAAATCTCGTTCTCAACAAGTCGGTCACTCAGTAATTGACCCAGCAGCTTCCAAGTCAGACAATATGCTACCTATTCAATCCAGTTTGCTCCAGCAGCTCAACCAGTTCTCCAATACGGCCCAGGCAGTTGGCTATTACCGAAACAAGATAGAGCTAGACTATGTGTGTTCGAACACTGCTGTCTATGCCGCATCACACTAAACTGATCAAACAATGCTCAGCTTAGGTTCAGAGTCTTGAGAAATTGTGGTAACTCGCCGTGGGAGGGGAGGGGGTTAGTATTAGAATTCCATGGATAATACTGGTTGGTGCATGTGTGGCACATACTGTAGCGAGAAGGCGAGCTGGCTGGGAAAAACGTCTATTGATGCAATTCAAAAGCAAACGGTGTATACGTTCGATTATATACAGTCAATTCTCAACCGCGCGGCCGGATGATTCATGCCTCTTTCTGTGGGTCATTCCTCGTTGGTTTTGGTCCGCACTTGGCACGTACGTTGCCTCTTCTTCCGCGTGCCATTCTGACTGGTTTGACCCGATCGCGGCGCGAGATGCGTTGATCGACAGCTCCGACGTTGTGGCATTCGGTGGATATCTTTCCCGTTAGCGGCGGACTGTCTGTTGGATTGTAATTGTCGACTCGCGAGGATCTTCCCGCCGCTGCGTCTGCGCGTCTGATCGGATGAGCCCCATTCTCGATTCGGTCGCTAGCCAGGACTCTCTTTGTACCGCATTCCATCACAATATCACCACGGAATACGATGTTTGCTGAGACCGGCTATATGTGGAAGCTGATAAAGGGTGGTCAAAGTAAGACGTGGCATGTGAGTTTTGTACAACCTCAAAATCGGGCGCATTAGACTTCCTGGATGTGGTTGACTTAACGGATTGTCAGAGACACTGAGTGATATGGCTGAGTGTAGCGAACAGTGACGCTTGTGTATCCACTCAATGTCCATGCAACGTTAGTCTTGGTAAATTCTCTATTTTCATTTACTCATTCATCTATATGGACCATAAGATACAGAAACCAAAAACTCTGCCTAAAAGTGCATGGGTCAGGTTTTTGCTCCACAGAACGTATGGATTGCGATAGATGTCTGCAGATAAACGTTATACGTGTTTTTTTTTTTACTTTTCGATTCGGCCCAAAGCTAGTTTTGAGTGGTGTTATGGGTTGGCTATAATATTTATATTGTCCGATCGCCCGCCAGATTTTGTATCCACATATAAACCTGTCCGGGCTGTGTTCAGTCCCAGTGATAAACTCTACTAAGAGCAAAACCTCAGTCAGATGCTTCCCTGTGTGTGTTTCACTAGTCGAAGTTTTGACGAAACGTTCCAATCTGTCTGATTCGGTAACTTTTAGTTGATTACCTGAATACACCAACACTGGCATTTAGGTTACCCTATTTCACAAGTTTCTAAAAGAACACATTTGGACCGTATCCTTCATGCACTGGTCACAGTGACTCCTTATTCTATTCGGATCACTCTTCCACATCCTTCCTCCACATGTTTATTTACAACTATACTATAACCTGCAATTTGTATTGGTATAGCTTTTGCAAGCCTAAATGCTTACATTTAATTTGAAAATATACACTAGTAGCCACACGGAATAAAAAAATCATACAGTTTCATATAGCATGTAAAGTGGGGAATGTCGCCGCAATAGGCTTCTGCCACTGTGTCTCACTGCACAAGGAAGACCGGTGAAATTTTTCAACAGGTTCGCGTCACTATTCCTCTTGCATCCTAATCGAATCCGTCAATACAGAAATGGTCAAAATGAACTCAGACTGACTGCTCACACTCACTCCCCACCCCCTTGGCTTACTTCCCCGTTTTTATTTTTTCAGTTGGGCAAAGGAAATCTGCTACAATTTCTCGGCGGTTCAGTTCGTGAGCGTTTCTTTGTCAAATTTGTCGAACAGATGAGTTTCTTCGTGGGCGAATATGATCGTGAGTTCGTTTGATAGAAAATAGTCCGTTTTCGATTACCCCTGTGTCACCGTCGCATGTCGAAAAACAAACTTTCCGTGCACTTCTCGGCACACGGTGGAATGAGAAAAGCACGCAAATATAACATTTTGACAGCAAAAAACAACCATATAGGCGGACACCGTGGAGCACATCAGATCGTGGAGATAGGCATTCTTCCTTTGGTGCATCGATAAGGAGTGGATGGTTTAATATAATCGGCTATATTGTATCTCAATAACACTCCTATGCTATTGAAGCCTTGTGTGATTCACCAGTCCAAGTGCTGGAGCTTGGATTACCGGTTCCCGTGAATGAGCAGTGGTTCATCTTGAACCGGGGGTTCGCTCCTTCTGCCGTTCGTCACACAACAGTGTGTAATAGAAAAGGGCTACCTTTTTTTAAATCGGACTATAAGCGCGACTAGAATTGGTCTCCAACCTTGTTTTTGTTGGCCCCATCCCCCATGTCATACTACAATTCGAATTTTCTGGGTCATTTTGTTTCCAATTTCCTTTTTTTCAACCATGAGTATTGTATTGAGTTCTCCGTTCGAATGATTCGCAATCTACCACAGCACAATACATATCGATCAAATCGTAATAAATTTATGGTTCCATCACATGATGATTTTCGCCACCAATCTCACCACGGCACACCAGGAACAGAAACAACCTGTGTTCTCGTACTATCTTTCCTCATCACCTCGTAACGAATCACGGTCCATATCCAACAGACCGATTGAGAGTGTAATCAGTGTAACATCAATCCCCAGATTCAGTCCCGTTTTCAGTTTGTACAACCATTAACCGTCCACTTTCTTGCGCCAGCTTTGATTGCTGTCTTTTGGCTACCCATCTGGATGAAGTAGTAGGATAGATAGATAGGGAGACAGTAGAAAGTAGAAAGTAGAATCGAAAATAAAATGGATGATTTCAGTTGACTCAGGTTGCAGCGAAATCGAGAGTATGCACAAACGCCACTGTTTGCAATTCACAGCCATATCACTCAGTGTTTCTAACCACCAATTACGATCCTGTCGAGGTCGCCATCCAGGGAGCGTAACGTGACCCAGAGAGCAAGTCTCCTGTCATTTCCTCATATCAGGTGTAATTTTGACTGTCCTATACTTTTTTCCGCCCACTACCTTCCTCGGCAAAAATCACTCGGTGGCAACCAATTGATTGACATGCGTAGCACATGCCCCAACCAACGGATTCTGTGGAGGTGGATCACTTGCTCCGTGGGCTACCTAACCTTAGCATTGCTTGTCCGATTGCCCCACCATGCAAGTTCAATGCTGCTTAGACAATGGTGTTCAAATACCGACAGTCTTTTTATCATGTTCCCGTAATGGTCAAGTTTCTGCGCGGTATAGCAGAACTGGCTGAACTGCTGCAGCCTACACTCAATCCTTCACAGACAGCCGGATGTCCCGACGCTGCCACAGATGCCTCGAGTAAGCATATGCCAACCGAGCCTTCTGTATGAGAGCTGACACTTCCTCCGTGATGCGCGCATCAGTCCTCGGCCTCAGATTTCCGGAATCTGTTGCATATAAATGAGAGGTGTGTGTGTGTGTGTGTAAAAAGGAACTGTCAGTTACACTCTTATTGTGGTCTTGTTGGTGATGAAATGTAGCTATTCGATTTATGTTTGAACTGTTAAACGATCTCGTTTGTAATATACCTGTGGAGGCCAACCCAATCTTCTTTGAATCGCTGTCCTTCTCTCTTCCCCCTCTGCATGTTTATCCTTGAATGAGTGCAAACCCTGATCAGGAGACTAGCTCACGTAGGTCGCGTTAGGTTTTCTGGCTGCGGACCTCGAGATCATTGTAATCGACGGTTAGAAACACTGAGTAAAATAGCTATCAATCGTAAACAGTTATACTCGCGCAACGTTTCAAGTTCTTTACAACCATTAGCTACCAAAATTCTTCATTTTCTCTTTGACACTTCTTCGCGCATATCCCCATGTTTCTTCAATCCCTTCATCCAAACGGGTAGTCAAAAAACCGCCTGCAAAAACCGTCTCACAAGTGTGCTGAAATTGAAGACTCTGACAATCCTTATCCCTAATAGTTTTACCACGATTAAGTGTTGATATCCATGTAACCTCCCCACCCACTCACCCCCCCCCCNNTGTTTTGTAGAGGAATTGCGCGAGTTTCATCAGTCCTACCTGCGCGATCGATCACAATTCCGATTCTATTTTGAATACATGGTGAGTCTGATCGTAACCCAGTACGTTGCCAGTCATTTATGTTTCTGATTACTGTGAGTCATGGATAGAGAATTCCGAAACGAGACTGTGGATAGTTTCGTACTAGTCTACTGGTAAGCAGCTTTGTTGTCGTCAATACAACGCCTAACCTGGCGGGGCCTTGTGTGGTTCGCCGTTCACAGTCCCGCGGGACTTAGGTTACCGGTTTCCATCATTGAACAGCAGGTCCTCGAGACTATGGATTTCATCCGGTCTGCTGTTCATCATTTACTTTACTACGGCTGGGTCCTTGGAAAAGATAAGCCGGCTCCATGAATGTCTCTTAAGGCTGTTATCCGCGCTTGGCGGTTGGCTGCAAGAATCTTGCATATGTTAATTCGGTTTGTTTTTCATCAGCGAGTGCTGTACACCATCCGAAGGCCAAGTTGGCCGAAGTCTTCGACTACAGTGACCAGCCAGGATTTTACTTGCCCCCGTTGTCGGCGGCGCAAGCCAGGACATCGTGTCGGCGCCAAGATAGCACTCATAAAAGTATTGTCGGGTCTGCGGAGAGCATGGCCCAGCCATTGCAGTCGGCAACGTTGTATGTGCGTTGAGAGACGGGCAACGTGACATCGATTCCTAAGGTCCGAATTGAGACTAAGTTCAGTTTTTTCAAGATGCATCGAAGACACCAGTGATTGACAGACCTCCAATCGTCGGATATCCTCAGCGGCCACGTTTTGTGGCCGTATAGTGGGACTGGTCGAACGTCTGTGGCAAACACCTCGGGCTTAGTTTTGAGACTGATCTCGTTCGGGCGCCATAGGGTGATTCGGAGCTGCAGAAACGCCGTTCGGGCCGTGTCAATGCGACGCTTCACATCATCTCTGGGTTGTCCATTGGGCAGGATGGTGGACCCAACGTACTTGAAGTCCGATACGATTTCTATTGTCCAACTATCCAGTTGCAAGAGATGTTCCGCTCGATCAGGTGAAGTAACGAACATCTTAGTTTTGTTGGGATTAATCTCAAGACCGATCTCAGAGGTAAATCTTTTGATGCGGTTGAGAGCTGTTTGCAAGGCGGTCAGGTCCTCTCCAAGCACTATCTCGTCATTGGCGAATTGGAGGTCAGTAATCTAGCAATCCGCGGAAACCTGGTCTGGCCGCGTACGTGCATGCCTCGCTGTAGCAAATGGATTCAGCACGAGTTGTGCAGAGTTGAGTGACGGATGGTTTCCTCTGATATCTTTGTAGCAGCGTTTCGTGGTACCAATTATGCTTAGTGCAGCCTTTATCCTGGACCACTGCACTTCAGTGGATTCTGCTGCGATGACAGATTGGGTAGACTCATTTGCCAGTCCGGTTTATATTTCATCCATCAGTGTTTTCGATTTCTCGCAGTGGGCCCAAATTGATGCGACTTGGAGGGATGATCTTAACACGAATAGTCAGCCGAAGGTAAAGTTTCGCACGAACCAGCGTCGTTGTATCAAGATATGGTCGATCGGGTGTGCTGTTTTACCGTCTTTGGCATATCAGGTAGGAAGATGCTTCCTGGGGTGCTGGCAACATTTGTTGGTTATAAATAGCCGGTTAAAATCGGAGAAATTAATTACCCTGTCACCGTTTTTTCAGCGACGGCCTAGTTCAAATTTCCCAATAATATGTTTGGTTGAAGGTCCTCGCTCACCTGTTCAACTGTACTTTGTTTTGCTTTCCTGCGGCTGGCTCCTTGGAAATGATAAGCCGGCCCCAGACATGATCATGATAAAGAAGTGCCTTAAGAGTTTGGTACCAGACACGTCCGCAGCATCACTCGGCGTTTTTTTTTATTTTGAGGGCTCACCTCTAGCCTCTGCACAACCAAGTGCGAACTGCAAGGCAGCAGAAAGTAATCCCTCGTCTCGAAAGTGAGAGGATCAATGACTTTAGTTTTCAAAGGCCAGTTATATCGACCTTTGTCACGACACCGTCATTGGGTTTATGTGGCTCTTAAACAGTAACCAGATAACATGCCTGAAACCCACCACATCCTGGTAGTGTCGCTGCTTTGTTCGCAACTGCTTATTTGTTGCGGTATACCACAACTTATTCACACCTAACCTTCTTCGGTGAAGGTATCCCCCGATCCAAAACCGGGGGACGCACCTAATAGCATTCAGATCTGCTTAACACACTAAGGTGTGTAATAAAAAATTAAGATACTAATCTCATTGTATATGTAACCAGTGCGCATACTTAAAAAAAATCTCCACTTTCGTAATACTTTTCGAAATCGCAGTGTATTTCATGTGTAGCTGTATAACACACTAACGAACTGTTTGTGCCTTTGTCTATCTATCAATCCGTAATCTTTGATGCAAACGAAACTTGTCTGTTTCAAATTACCCCTTTGTTTCTTTGATACCCGATTTCGCCTTTTCACATTTTCATGTATTGATTAAACGACTTCTCCGATTGACACTCGAAATGTGCATTCATAACACTCTCGCGGTCCTTCATATGTGAAGACCGAGAATTCCACAATTCAGATATATTTTAGTGAATATTTTCAAGTACAGCTTATTGTGATGAATGCACAACCTTCACACTGACTGTTCCAAAGACGAATTAGTGGGTTAGCTGCTTAAACAAAGAGTGACAACCGGAATCAGTGCAGATTGATACATTCATTTGTCAATTAGAGGATAACCCTTGTAAGTTGGTAGCCAACGTGAATGAAAATTACTGATATAATGGTTTATTATTCCACAATCTTTCGGATCTTTTTGTTCCCACCTTTGCAACACGTGATCGTCAACAAAACTCCGTATTGTGCTCTGTTCTTCCCCTTTACCGGATAGCTGGCCAGTGCGAACGATGCACTCGTGTTTGCCGATAGTATCGTGAAAATTGTGATGCAAGAACTGGCTGAGGACGCGCAGCTGAAAGGACGTATGACTTCACATATCAACACCCTCAAAGCACAATTTGAGAAAGTTGCAGAGCATTGGTGAGTAATGCTGTTCAAATCGCTCGGTTATCAGATTTTCATGGGATGTTATTTGCATTGGATTATTTTTTCGTTTTACTTCGACCACAGCCTGATCACACTGGTCTCGTTAAGCTCCCCGGACGGGGTCCCCATGATGATCGTAACTGATGGTTTGGTACATTGAATGATGTTCTAAACAGTGGTGTTCGTTTATCTCCTCAATCTCTTTGCCACCTTAGTAGTCTACTGCGATTCTCTTTACCGCCTCTATCCTACTGCTTCATCCAAACGGGTTGCCAAAAGACAGCAACCGAAACCGGCCCACGAAAGTGCGTGGTTAAAGGTTGTACAGATTGAAACAGAATGATCTATATTCAAATCACATTCGGCTTTTCATTGATTGTTGTCGAACCCATTGTATTCACCAAGTTATACCAACTGCGTAATGAGGATGTGGAATGGACCCGTTTCAGTGGAGAAGGGATGAAGGTGGACCTCCATGAACATAATGTAACAGTACACGCATTTTTAAACCTTCTGGTCTTATATGAAACATTTAAAAAAAGCCATTGCTGTCGGTTCGTTATCATACATTGCGGTGTCTCCAAGCCATCAGTATTTCGACCCCCATCCTGGACGACGAGAGACAACTGCTCTACCTAACAGCTCTGCTAACGCCCTCATTCCACTCGTGAAATTACAGACAGCCCTTTGATTGACCACCGTCCCCGTCCTGAAATTTATATCGTTATCTTCTCCATTTTCACTTTCATCTGTTCTCTCCTCGCTCCTATTACTCGCATGGGTGTGAAGTCGTCTGGCCGCGGAGGAGACGATTCTACTCGATCTGAATTTCGTCCTGACCAATGTGATGACTCCGCAGTGGTGAGTGCACGATCGCTTGTGTCTGCCTTGCGGTATTGTTTGTTTTTTTCTTCGAGGCAGGATGATTTACTGCTTCGAACAACTTTCGATTTTCGCAATCCCTATGCCTCTTAGAATTTACTTCCATCGTCAAAAGTAGTAATCTGCAAACGTTTTGATTTTTTCACTAAATGCTCAAACCGGTTATATTCGTATGAATAGGAAGGGTACTTGAAAATGTAGTACATCTGTTAATCGTGCCATTTCTCGGACAACCATTCGCAATATGTTTGCCATTTACATTGGTTCCTAAAAGTTCGCACCTGAGTAATCACCACCGGTATGATTTTTGTGGCGTCCTTTTTGTTTCCCCATTTAATGTCATAATTATCAGTCGCTGATAAACGATGAGTAGACATTATTAGGCTGTTACCTAGCGCCCATTTTTTTCGGTTAGAATAAACAGAAATGGTCGTTTACCAATCAGGGGCTGGCTGTTCTCCTGCGTTCATTCACCCATCGAATTTGCTATCAAACACATTTAGAAGAAAATAGCCTATTATAGAATGCGATGGCGAATGATAAGAATCACATTCCAGTTCCACGACCGCACGTTGCTCATACTGTGATCATCGTGCACTCGTTGGTTCGGGTCATCAGATACTACTTACTGATAAGTGGGAACGATGACTGTGTTGCGTGTGATAATGGAAGACTGAGTGGTCGACGGAATTTTTTAGGAATATGTGGGATTATGTGGGGCGGATTTCGGTTGCTTTGGCTGTGGTCGAAATTCGACTCGGAAGCCTCCTGTAGGTCGACGACTGTGAACTAAACCGGCCGGGAGAAACGCCTCGGTCATATGAGCCAGGTGACTTGATCATAAAGAATGTAAACTATGGTACCGCTCCTGAGTAATAATTGTGATAAATTAGCCATCTGGTCGTATCACTGCAAACGAGTTTTTGTTTGTTTGTTATTTTTTTCCCGTAAGATGTGTAATACTGGTATTTTTGGACAATTTGGTAAATGTTGTATGTACTCGTGTTTCACGGGCTGCCGAATCCAGGCTGTGCCAAACAAATCCCAGTGCAATAATCTTTATTAAAAAATAAACGTAAACTTTAGGGGAACTGAAATCCAAACACAACTTTATGGCAAAATTACTTAACTTCGTATTAGTACATTCATGGTGCATTGAAGCTGTCACTGAACCCTGCGTTGATAAAATTATCTGGTTGTTTTTAGTTTTCGTGTTGATTTTTCCCAAACCCAGTCATTTTTACTGACTAGATGTGGTACAGAAAGAACTCATGAATAAATAAAATATCGCAGGGCCATTGTTCTGCCTATTGGATTGGAAATATAAGGAACACGGATCTGTTTCAACCAACCCACATTCTGAGGCGGAAATCCTTGAAGAGATCCAAGTCTTAAGCCAGGCTCTGTTGGCCTCCCAGTTTTATTTAAAGATGGTTGAATGAAGCTTGTTAGAGAATTGATGGCTCTGTTCTCTGAGCAGGTGCCCTTTTGATGGGAATCGTTTTTCGTCCTATTCTTCAAAAAAGGCCGTCGCAGTAACTGAGCCACTCCAAGAAATGTAAGCCTTATCCCAAAAGCGTCAAAGCTGTTGGTGTCCGTCATTCTCCGCCGATTGTACAATATGCGTGAGGAGCAGGCTGGGTTTCGCGCCGGTCGTGATGTATCGATCAAAGCTTCACCCTTCGACAGCTGTTAGAGCACCGTTCTGCCTATGAAAAACCAACGCTCATGGTTCTTAGACATCCGCGCGGCCTTTGACTCTGTCACTGGGACCGCAAACCGCCTTCCAGGTTGGGGTCCACGGGATATATATAT